GAACTGCGTGCGTACATATATAGCAATGATTACTGTTGTTTTGATAATGAATTTATAAAATATATAAATATAGCGAGCAAAATTTTAACATAAAAGCGATTATAAATCTATGCATATTGGCTCGGCTTGGAATAGGATGTTAAGCAAGGTGTGGTCTCAAACTATTTTGAATTCTCCCCGAAAAATTTGAACTGCGTGCGTACATATATAGTAATGGCTACTGTTGTTTTTTATAATGAATTTATAAAATATATAAATATAGCGAGTAAAATATTAACATAAAAGCGCTTATAAATCTATGCATTTTGGCTCAGCTTGGCTTTGCTCGGCTTGGAATCGGATGTTAAGCAAGGTGTGGTCGCAAACTATTTTGAATTCTCCCCGAAAAATTTGAACTGTGTGCGTACATATATAGTAATGGCTACTGTTGTTTTTTATAATGAATTTAAAAAATATATAAATATAGCGAGCAAAATATTAACATAAAAGCGCTTTTAAATCTATGCATATTGGCTCGGCTCGGAATCGGATGTTAAGCAAGGTGTGGTCTCAAACTATTTTGAATTCTCCCCGAAAAATTTGAACTGCGTGCTTACATATATAGCACTGATTACTGTTGCTTTTATAATAAATTTTTATTATATATATATAAAGTGACTGGAATCCATGTATACAAATAATTATATTATATTATATTAGATTACATGTTTATATGAAAATCAATATAGCAGATTCAACCAGCCAACCAGAAAGTTTCGAAGGCGTTCGTTCGATGACTTCAATTTAGTACGGTTAGCATTGTGGTTAAGACTGTATAATAGTGCAGTATATACATTAAACAAGTTTTTTACTGATGCGAATGATTGAAATGATGAGAATGTATGGTTGAAACGAGTATAAATAGAGGAGGTGAGACAACATGAAAATCAGATCAGCATTCTGCCTCGCTTGAAGCAGTCTGTCTGATCTCATTTATTTTATTTTTAAAATTTTTTTATTTTTATTTATTTTATTATATAGAGTTATATAGAGTTATATAGAGTTATATAGAGTTTGCATGTTTGTAGGTGGTTTGAATGTTTGTAGGTGGTATTTTTTTAATTTTAGGTGGGTTCTTTAACGGTTGCTCATACATATATACATACATAATGTTTGTTTGTGTGGTAGTATTTTATGTTCTGTTTTACTCCTTTTTCTCTTCATGAGTCTTGAGTTAAGTTAATGAAGCATAGGTAGGTGAGGTAAAAATTAATTTATTATATAGGTAGGCTAGGGCATAAGGTAATTTTAGTTACATAGGTAGGTTAGGGACTCCTATTCTTTTACTCTACTTGGTGGTGTGATTTTTGTTATGTGTTTTTTTTTTTGTTTAG